TAATTGAATTAAATAATGAATTTAATAATGTATGAGCCAAATATTTATGTTAATACAGCAAATTTATATCAATTGTCGATAATGTCAACGTTCTTCAATTATCTCCTGCTCTTTCAATGAGCAACCTCTGATTAATAGTTTTATTTTCTACTTTCATTTGTAATGATTTATTTTAAAACAAATGTAAAACAGAATACAGTAGAAGAAATAACTTTTGTTAAACAGAATAAATTATTTTGCTATCAATGCACGAAAAGAAAAAATGCATAGTTATATGTAGACTGCGGATATTTATGCAAAATACTTAACTGAATATTTTGCATAAAATGCATATTTCCAGATGGCAATCTCAACCTTTTTACTTTACTTTTTAATAACTTTTTAACGAACAATGATCGACTGCTAAAACTGTCCGATAGTTATAATATTCAGTTAAGTGTTTTGTATAAATATCCACGGTCTAATTATATGTAAAGAATATAAAGGGTGATTTGTTTTAATCTTAATAGATAAATATTTAATCTTAATAGAAAATATGCAATTCTATCGAGAAATATTTCAAATAAAAATTGTGTAGTATAGAGGGAAACATCACCATTGTACATCCCTCTCTGTACTATACAACTTTTATTTGGATCGATTTTTTTTTTTTTTAATTAAATTACATATTTGCAAAATATTTGCCTGTTAAGATTAAAATGAATCACCCTGTATGATAAATTAGGAGTAGCCAACCTTTTTATCTGAGACGCCTGACAAAAAGGTTAGCTATTCCTGATCCGTGTATATATACGGCTGCATTTGGATAGCACATTATCAGTTACAATTACGAGTTTAAAGAGAAATGTAGATATTGATAAAAATTATCGATAGCTGCAAGTTGTTTGCGTAAATAAGTAACAGAAGCGGTGAATTCGTTGTATCTAATTAAGTTAAGGTCTACTCAAGTGACGCGAACAAATCATGGGGCTGCATATAGCATTACTGATACTTGGAGTAACGATACTTCAACAGGGAATATCCCTTGAAGTACGTGCACCACGTGTCGGTAAGAATTAATTTTTCATTTCAATACGTTATTTAATAATTCACAAAAGATTTTAATTAATTCTTATGTTCTACATTTTTTTAGCCGTTATAGGGGGTGGTATCGGCGGAGCATCCGCCTCGCATTTTCTCACTGAATTGTTAAAGGAATCTGTGGAAATCGACTTGTACGAGGCAAAGACTATCGGTGGGCGATTGGCGACTGTCAAGATTGATAAAGATGAAGTCGAAGCTGGTGGTTCAATTATACATTCTAAGAACATGTATATGCAGAGATTTGTTAAACTCTTGGGTATGTATAGATAGCAACTTTCTGTTTCCTTAGCTCAAATATATTAGCTGCATATGTCCATTTCTATTAATGTAAATTAACTTTAATCTTAATTTAATTTATTTTTTATCTTTTTCTAATTCTTGCCACTGTATATTTATTTCTGTCAATGTAGGATAATTTTAATCTTAGTGTAACTTACTTTTTATCTTCTTTCAATCCCCTAAGAAACAGAAAAAGATAAAAAAAATTAATGAAACTGAAATTAAAATTAATCTAGAGACTGTAGACTATAGTAGCAGAAATAGATCCTAAAGTAAAAAAAAAGATAAAAAGTAAATTAAACTGAATTAAAGTCAATCTATATTCATAGAAACGAATAAAAAATATTAATGACCAGCTTTTATGATTTTTTAGGTTTGGAAAAGAGTCCTTCCAGTGATGAAACATTTGGCATATGGAACGGAGATGAGTTTATATTCATAGCAAGCGATTGGTCCATAGTATCGCTGATGAAATTATTTTATAGATACGGCTTTCAGTTACATACTCTCAAGAGGTATTTAAATATTATGCAATAAGTATAAGAGAAGAGAAAAAGTAATATTATATTATATATTTTCTTTGAGCAGTCTTATAAGCAACATGATAGAAGATTTTGTGAAGATATATGATCTGCAGGATGCAGGGCAATCCTTTGCCAATGTTACTGCACTCCTATCAGCTATGAATAAAGATTTCCCGAAATTATTAAAGACGTCTACGAAAGAATATCTTTTGCATAAGGGTTGCACAGAGAAAATGATCAATGAATTAGTGCAAGCTGCTATCGTAGTGAATTACGGTCAGGAAGTCGATATCCAAAGTTTTGTTGGTTCCATATCTGTGGCTGGGATAGACGGTGACTTATGGTCTATTAAAGGTGGAAATAAAGGGGTAATATTATTAACTTATTGTCTGTCCTAATTACTTATAAAAAATGTATAAAATACATGTTGAAATATCTTAGGTACCGGAGCATCTCATTTACAGAAATAAAAAAGTAAATGTAGTACCAAGCTGTGTTACAAAGATTCGCAATTTAGCAAACGATTATGATGTAAGTCAATACGAAGTGACCTATATAAATAAAGGTGCGATAAATAAAATCTGTTTGAGAAAGAGATAAATATTTAAAGTATATAGTGAAAAATAGCATGCAATTATGCATTTCAGGTAGCACTGATCCAATGACGTCTAACTACGACATCGTAATTATCGCCGCACCACTTACTAGTGATCAAGAATTTCAAATAGAATTTATCGGGTTTCCGAGTAACTTGGTAGTTCCAGGAAAATATCAGACAACATATGCAACGTTCATCAAAGCGAATCTTAAACCAAAGTACTTTGGCTTGCAAAAACCTTTGAATGGGATTCTAAGTTGCAACCCAAACAAAACTACGATCAGTTCGGTCGGGAAAGTGAATCCTGTTGATGGTTCAATTAGAAAAGATCCACAAGTTTGGAAGGTCTTCAGCAGAAAACCTCTAGAGACAAGTCTTGTACACGATATGTTTTCTGAAGTATGAAGTTTGCTGTAAATGTTTTGTGTAAACAAAAGCAAAACTGATATGCATATTTAATTTTCTTTTTTATGTTAAGGTCATCGAGAAAAAGGAAATTGCTTGGAAAGCATATCCCCGTTACTCGACAAAGATGAACTTTGATAATTTCAAACTACATAATGCACTGTATCATGTTAATGTATTTGAGTGGGCCGGAAGTTCGATGGAAATGAGTGCAATAGCTGGAAGAAACGTCGCTATTTTGGCATACAATGATTTTCTTCAGAAATTCCCTAATTCTATACTGGATAAAGAAACTTCTGAACATACATCTAAAAAATTACATTATTCTGAGGATTTATAATATCTTTACTGTTAACAGATTTTATATGAACACATGAGAGTATTTTTATAGCACATAAGTGCAATGTTGTGTATAAAAGAAGTTATAAAATAAATCAAAGATAACGTTCCAAGCTTACTGAGTCAAATAATTTGATAAAAGTGATTGTGTAAAAAAAATAAATACTTGCGTTATCATTATCTATACAAATGTGACTTATTTAATAACATGTTTGTTCAGTAAATTATTTTTATATGTCTTATCTTATAATCCGCGATAGAATCCGTAGTTTTTTATTACTATAAATATATATAATAATAAAATAATTTATAAAATTACTATGATTATATGAGCTCATTCAGTATATATTTTTGCTCTTTTCCAAACGATAATATTTAAATCACGCAATATATAGAAGATGTCTTTATTGTCTTTTGGATATCTTTTAGATGTGTATTTTAAAACGTCTTTATGTCTGTGATGTTTTTTTTTTAAATATACATGTTGTCTGAATTGGTTATCCATGCCATTCAAAATTTTATGTACGATTAATTTTTTAAATAAATTTTAGCATTGTATTAATTTTTTCTATCTATTTTTACGAGTGTTTCAGAAAGTGCGGATGGTGTAGGAAAAGCCGGTAAATATGTCAAGTTGAAAGTAGTAAGTAATGCGCTGGTTTAGCTGGTTATAATTGCAGTAGACAATAAATAACATACTAATCAATTGAAGACGTGATGCAGCGGATAACGCAAAAAATTTATATAATCCAGAAATCCCGGGTTTAAATCCCACTTAATTTAAAGTGCGTTTTTATCAATTTGAAGTAATTAATTTCAAGTATAATTACTATAAATGTTTTACGCGGAGTCTACAATAAAACTTATAGCGATCATAAGGTCTTAAACTCCTGAGTAGTCATCATTGAATTATGAAGTAATAATCATTGAATCATGAAATGAGAAATGACACGTTAATTTGTATTACATGTCATCATAAATAAAGACAATTTAGGTAAAACAATTTAGGTGAAATAATGAAATTGCTTTAAAAAATTTGTAAAAATGGATAAAAACTATGCTTATCCTCTTTAAGTCAGTAAATAATCGTAAAAAGTAATAAAAGGCATCTGTAAGTGAAAATAAGCTACGTATATGCGCATTGAATAAAAGCACTTAATATGCCTTTTATCA